CGGAAGGGACCATGGGGGTCATCTAGTCCAACCCCCTGCTCAGGCAGGAAACCCTATACCATTTCAGACCAATGGCTGTCCAGTCTCTTCTTAAAAACTTCAGCCCTTTACTCTGATGACGTCAACAGTTAAGTTGACGAAAGCTCAGTCATAAAAAAAAGGCTATTTTATATCCCGGAGTTCACTCATTTTATTGATTAAAAAAAACCCCCACTATATATTTGTTTTTATGTTTTTTTAAAAAAAAGAAAAGAAAAGAATTCGGTACGTGCACTCAGAGACAAGGAAGCAGCTTGTCTGGCTTTTGACACCGTCCACTCTCCCCACACCCCACGTCACCCTATTTGCATTGTGTGCTGAGATTTTTTTGTGTTTCCCATCCCATGAAGTCATAAATCCATCCGCATCTGTGCAGGCCCGGGCAGCCTTTATCTTAAAACTAGCAAAACTGTTCAACTGGTAGGAGCAAGGGATTATTGCAGGGCTGGCGCACCGGTTCAGACAAGCAGGTCTGGTGGAAGCTGCGAGGTTCTGGGCCCGTAGTTTCACAGCCTTAACCGCTTTTAAGTCCTGTGGACTTCAACTCCCAGAATTCCCCAGCCAGCCCTGCTGGCTGGGGAATTCTGGGAGTTGAAGTCTACAGGTCTTATAAGTAGCTCAGCTGGAGAAATCCTTATTTTTTTCAATGCAATGTGAATTCCTTTGGTATCCGGCTGCCGCAACTTTGTGCGCAGTCTTACAGCCATAATTTTCTGTTTTAGCCTAGTTTTAAATGTTGCTGATGATCAGGCTTATTTATTGTCCAGCCATTAATGTCACACACCGATTCTCGGATTCAAGGGCCAGTGTTTGCACTAAACCTCTTATTGCAAAAAAACAACAACAACACAACCCATCACACTGAAGGGATATTAAGCGTCTGTTGCGTTATTCTTTTTTCGGATAGGACGCCAGGCTGGCTCTTAAGCCCCGTAGTTCTGAATAAGTCACCTTTAAAAAAAGTGCTGCAAGTCAACAACTCAGAACATTCTGGAATGTTTCTCTCCTCTCCCTCCCACCCCCACACCCCTTTCCCCTCTCTCTAGGTCTCTTGATGGCCGCCTCCAGGTGTCCCACCGCAAAGGGTTGCCGCACGTCATTTACTGCCGCTTGTGGCGCTGGCCCGACCTCCACAGCCACCACGAACTTAAGGCCATTGAAAACTGTGAATATGCTTTTAATCTTAAGAAGGATGAAGTGTGTGTCAATCCTTACCATTACCAGAGAGTGGAGACTCCAGGTAAGAAGATGGGCGACCACCGCTGACCTGAAGGGGTTGGCTTAAGGCAGGTCTTCCCCTTAGCTAAACCGCCGAAGCAAACGCCCCGGGGCGTAGAAAGTTGCACCTGCGTTACTGCCAAGGGTTTTATTTATTCATTTATTTATTATTTACATTTATATAATAAATTTTGAGTGGGAGTTCGCTCCCAACGGTTTAATTTTCATCATATTGAAAAGCACGGCTGGTCGTATTGCACGCAGGTGTTGGGCCACCCCCCTGGCGTCACCTGCAGACGTGCAAAGTCTTGCGAAGGTTCACCTCGATTCAAAGGACAGCACGCCTCCATTCTCTCTCCTTCCTGCTCTGTTGTGGAGACCCAAGGGACTCGAAAGAATTTTAAATCCAGACCAGGGGTCTTCAGACTTGGCCCTTTTATGACTGGCGGACTTCCAGAATTCCTCAGTCGGCCATTTTGATGAAACTGCGGTCTTGGATCCAGACCGCAGGGGTCCTCTAACTTGGCCCTTTTATGACTGGTGGACTTCAACTCCCAGAATTCCTCAGTCGGCCATTTTGAGGAAACTGCAGGCTTGGATCCAGACCAGGGGTCTTCCAACTTGGCCCTTTGATGACTTGTGGACTTCAACTCCCAGAATTCCTCAGCCAGCCATTTTGATGAAACTGCGGGCTTGGATCCAGACCAGGGGTCTTCAAACGTGGCCCTTTGATGACTTGTGGACTTCAACTCCCAGAATTCCTCAGCCAGCCATGAATGCCTGGCTGAGGGATTCTGGGAGCTGAAGTCCACAAGTCATCAAAGGGCCACGTTTGAAGACCCCTGATACAGACTTTAAGAGGAGTGGACTTCAACTCCCAGAATTCCTCAGCCAACGTGTCTGGCTGAGGGATTCTGGGAACTGAAGTCCACATGTCATCAAAGGGCCAAGTTTGAAGACCCCTGATATAGAGACCTCTGAATGATACTTTTGTTCACCTTTCTTTGGGAGGTTCCAGGGAAAGGATCCCACCACAATCTGGAGTAGCCACTTAATGGCTTGTTTTTCCCCATGCCCTGTAATTTCCAAAAGAAAGATAGCTTGTCCAGCTGGATTAAAAAACTGTTTGTGAGGACAGGTTATTGCTTAATAGCTACCTTGTCATTGGTGCGAGGAACTGAGACTTGATAGAACTGGTGTCACGCTAATTTATTCTCAGATCTACTATATGAGAATAGTAGAATAGCATAGAGCTGGAAGGGACCTTGGAGGTCTTCTAGTCCAGCCCCCTGCTCGAGGAGAACCTATACCATCTCAGACAAGTGACTGTCCTGTCTCTTCTTAAAAACTTCCTGTGATGGAGCACCCATGATTTCTGGAGGCAACTTCTGTTCCACTGGTTGATTGTCCTCACTGTCAGGAAGTTTCTCCTTAATTTCAGGTTGCTTCTTTCCTTAATCAGTTTCCAACCATTGTTTCTTGAGCTGAGAGTCTATGGAGATTCTCAGTCATCCAGGACCATGGTCGTCCCAAAGGTGCTTTTTCAAAAATCAGCTGGACTTTGAACTTATTTCAGTTTTATTTTCCAAAGCACCAGAAAGCAGGACAAGAAACAATGGATGGAAACTGACCAAGGAGAGAAGCAACCTGGAATTAAGGAGAAACTTCCTGACAGGGAGGACAATTAACCAGTGGAAGAGAAGTTGCCTCCAGAAATCGTGGGTGCTCCATCACTGGAGGTTTTTAAGAAGAGACTGGACAGTCACTTGTCTGAGATGGTATAGGTTCTCCTGCTTGAGCAGGGGGCTGGACTAGATGACCTCCAACGTCCCTTCCAGATTCTATTCTGATTGATTGATTTTCTGTTCTGTTCTGTTCTATTTTCTATTCTATATTCTACTTTACTCTGTTCTTTTCTATTTTCTATTCTATTCTATTCTATTCTATTCTTTCTCTAATCAATTCTATTTCATAATTTGTTATTCTATTCTATTCCATTCCATTCCATTCTATATTTTCTTTTTTCTATTCTATTCTATTCTATTCTATTCTCCATTCCATATTTTCTTTTCTATTCTATTCTATTCTATTCTATTCTATTCTATTCTATTCTATTCTATTCTATTCTATTCTATTCTATTCCATTCTAATTCAAGAAGCTTGAACTGAAGAAGCTTCTTGGATGAGAAGCGAAACATCTTCAAGGAAAAACAAAAGTCCAGTTACCCTTTTGAAAAAGCACCTTTGGGATACATGAGCTGAGAAATAAATGCTTTAAAGTGACTTAATGACTTCTGCATCTGGATTCCCTCTCCTTTACTGTTAAACGGTTAAAGAAGAATGAAAGAGATCCCATTTGGATCCGAGTCTCAAAGATAACTTCATTCTCTTGGTCCAGTCCTTGCTTCCCATTCCTTAGATTTCCACCCTTCCCTCATGGGAAAAATAAGACAAATTCCTTCTTGGAAGAAGAACACGTGAAATAAGGACGATAAGCTTTTTAGTAAATACACTTGGAGACTCTATGGCTAAGTTTATAGACAACAGCAATCACATTCACTGTGGATATTTGGAAGTGACATATATTAAGTCTCTCTGTCTCCCTCCCAAGTTTCTTAAATCAGCATTTTTAGGCTCATTGGGGTGATTTTCTCCACGCTTACCTGGAAACAAACCCGTGGCCAAAATTTGGCTTTAATTCTAAATAGGCCTAAAACGGAATGCATTAAAACTACGTCATTGGAGTCTGCCATATTATTTATAGAGGAGTATTTGTATCATTGTGTATTTAAGCGTTCTTAAATTGTGCTTAACGTTTTGGGATGTTTTCCTTCTTTTCCTAGTTTTGCCTCCGGTGCTGGTGCCACGACACACTGAGATTCTGACGGAACTCCCACCTCTGGATGACTATACTCATTCCATTCCTGAAAACACTAATTTTCCCGCAGGAATTGAACCCCAAAGCAATTACATACCAGGTATTCATCTCAAGGCAAATGGAACTAAACTTGAAGTCAGTTTCATATAAGCATAGAAGGAACGGTTGCTGGAATTGGGCATGTCTAGTTTAACGAAGAGAAGGAGGAGGGGGGACAGGATAGCAGCCTTCCAGTCTCTCAGGGGCTGCCCCAAAGAAGAGGGAGTCAAGCCATTCTCCAAAGCCCCTGAAGGCAGGACAAGAAGCAATGGATGGAAACTCATCAAGGAGAGACGCAACCTAGAACTAAGGAGAAACTTCCTGACAGTTAGAACAATTAATCAGGGGAACAACCTGCCTCCAGAAGCCGTGAATGCTCCAAGGCTGGAAGTTTTTAAGAAGAGACTGGACAGCCATTGTCCGAAATGGTGTAGGGTTCCCTGCCTGAGCAGGGGGTTGGACTAGATGATCTCCAAGGTCCCTTCCAACTTTATCATTATTATTATTATTATAACGTGCCTCCAGAAGCTGTGAATGCTCCAACACTGGAAGTTTTTAAGAAGAGACTGGACAGCCATTTGTCTGAAATGGTATAGGGTTTCCTGCCTGAGCAGGGGGTTGGACTAGATGATCTCCAAGGTCCCTTCCAACTTTATCATTATTATTATTATTATAACATGCCTCCAGAAGCTGTGAA